TAATCGGTAAACGACCATGCATAGAAAACTCTGAACAGCAGTATCCATCACAAAGTACACCAGTACCTCACTTCTTGATCCTGCATTCACTGTCTGATAAATTTTAGGGCAAATGTCTCCCTTTTTTATTCAGAATGGTTTAGAGGGGCTTGCTGGCTCTCCAAAGTCATTTAAGAAGCTATGTTCTGGGGATATCTTGTTGGAAACATCAACACCTAAACACAGTGAACTCCTCCTGAATTCTAAGACCATCAAGGATATACCCATTGAGGTTATTCCCCACGCTTCCTTGAATTCCTGAGTCAGATATTCGTGGTGGTTTCCCCAGCCAAGGAGTTTCAGCAGTTCGAAGGATCTCCACTCATCAAGATGGTATTATGGTGCCGACCTTAGTTCTTATTTTGACGTTTTCATCACCACGTCCACCTGCCGCTGTTAAGGCGGGTTATTTGAACTGTAAGGTACGTCCCTATATTCCCAACCCTCTCCGATGTTTTCAGTGCCAGCGGTTCGGTCATTTGAAGACATCTTGTCATGGTTCTGTGACGTGTGCTCATTGTGGGGGCAAGGACCATGATGCCTACGAATCCAAACTGGACCCTTACTGTGTTAATTGTAGTGGTTCCTGCCCATCTTACTTTAGGTCTTGCCCTAAGTGGGTGGAGGAGAAAGAGGTACAGTGTTTGAAGACTGTTCACAACATTTCTTACACAGAGGCTCGGAAGCTATTGTCCCCTACTCCATCTCAGACATATGCCACTGCACTACGCTCCACTGTTACAGTGGGAGTACAGACGGACCTTTCTGTGCCTCCATCTGAGTCTTTTTCATGCCATTTGAGAGGTCTTTTGCCCTCCATGGATAATAGAGTTGATAGGTCTATGTCTACTCCAATCTCTGTCCCCATTATTCCTTCTAGTGACTGCCTCTGGTGTCTGTGTGAGTCCTTCTTTGGCCCCTAAATGCAGGACGATCATTCGATCACTTCTTCAGTTATTGGATTCTCACTCTGATGACAGAGATCTGCTCACTCGGTCAAGGGCAGGATCCATGGAGGTCGACTGACCTCCATCTAGTAAAGAAAAATGTCATGGTTGTAAACCAAAGAGTTCTCCACCCTGTTTTCCTAAACCTACATAAAAATGGCCACTTTAATACAGAGGAACTGTCAAGATTTTCGTTCTAATCTCGATGACATTAAGGCCTTGATTGACTCCTATCATCCCGTGTGTCTCTCCTTACAGGAAACATTTTTGAAACCTGCCGATACAGTCACCTTTCAGCAGTTTTCTTTGTACTGGAATGACAGGTTGTGTGATAGGCGGGTGCATGGTGGGGTGGCACTGCTGGTCGACCAGCATATACCCTCCTTATCTGTGTCCCTCAATACACCCATGGAGGCTGTAGCCATCCATGTTTCCTTGGGTTGTACAATCACTGTTTGTTCTCTCTACCTGTCTCCTGGGGAGACTTATGATCAATCGGACCTTGATGCTCTCATTGACCAGTTGCCATCTCCCTTTTTACTTCTGGGATTCTTTAATGGACACAACCCCGTCTGGGGTGGTGCTGATATTGATGGGAGAGGTCGTTTCATAAAGTGTATGCTCTCAGATCACAACCTTTCTCTCATCAATACTGGAACCTATACTTATTTTTATGCAACTAGTCAGTCTTTTACAGCCATTGATCTCTCGATTTGCTCCCCTTTACTTTTTAGTCGCTTTTCTTGGATGGTCAGCAGTGACCCACGGGGCAGTGATCATTTTCCTATCATTATGAGAGAGGTTGGCCATGGTAGATGCCACCCGACCCGAGTGCCACGGCAGAAGCTGGACCAGGCTGACTGGCCATCTTTCACCTCTCTTTCTGAACTTGATCTTGCCTTTGTCTGTCTGTCATCAATAGATGACTGCGTGGTTGCAGTGACTGACTGTATCGTCCAGGCAGCTGCTCATTTCATTCCTAAAGCCTCGACACGTTTTCCACGGTATCCTCATCCATGGGGGAGTCCTGCCTGCCACGGGATATGGAAGGCTCAAAAACAGGCCTGGGATACATTACGACTGTATCCCTCTCTTTCCAACTGCATTGTTTATCAGCAGGCTTGTGCCCATGCTCGGCAGGTTCGACGTCAAAGCCAAAAGGAGTCTTGGATTAAATTCACTACTAGCATCTTTTCTACCACCAGTTCCAAAACTGTATGGGACAAGATTCGGAAAGTCACTGGGAGGTATGCTTACCATCCCCTTTCCATCTTGCTCTCCAATGGCCAGGAAGTTGCTGATGTCCAGAGCATTGCTGATGCTCTCGGCCACAGCTTTTCTCATGCTTCTAGCACTTCTGTTTCTTCCCCTGCCTTCTTGGCCATCAAATCTCGGGCAGAGCAATCACCTCTTTCCTTTCGGGCCGATCGTCTCTATGATTATAATTGCCCCTTTACACTGGTGGAACTCAAACTTGCTCTTCATCGGTCTGGTAGTACATTGGTCAGACCTGATGATGCTCATTATGAGATGTTGCACCATCTCTCTCCTGCCTCTCTTTCTATTCTTCTGGTTATTTTTAACTGGATCTGGCAGGAGCATGTTTTTCCTGATGCTCGGTGCCAGGCTATTGTCCTCCCTTTCTCTAAACCTGGGAATGATCCCAAGATTCCTTCTAACTATTGTCCTATTGCTTTGACTAGTTGTCTTTATAAGGTCCTAGAGAGGATGGTTAATGCTCGTCTTGTTTGGTTCCTCGAATCGAACACATTCCTCTCACCCACCCAGTGTTGGTTCCGTCGACAGCGCTCCACCATGGACCATCTGATTCGACTTGAAACGTTGATCAGGGAAGTCTTTCTCAAGAGAGAACACTTTGTTTCTGTGTTCTTCGATCTTGAGAAGGCTTACGACACCATGTGGAGGTATGGAATTTTGCAGGACCTCCACTCCTTTGGGTTGCATGGCCATCTACCCATTTTTATTCAAAACTTTTTACTGAACAGGCGATTTCAAGTCTGTGTGGGTTCAATTCTTTTCCGTTCCTTTCCACAGTCCCTCAGGGCTGTGTCTTGAGTGTCACACTTTTTGTTGTTAAAATTAATGCCATCACTAATAATCTTCCTCCAGCTGTTGCAAATGGGCTATATGTTGACGACTTCCACATCTCGTGTCAGTCGTCGAACATGAGGTTTATTGAGCGGCAGCTTCAGACTGCCCTCAATCGGTTATTGACATGGACCACTGCAAACGGTTTTAAATTTTCTTTTTCCAAAACCGTTTGCATGCATTTTTGCCGCCAACGAGGTCTTTACCCCGATCCCAAGCTCAGTTTTGGCAATATAGTTATTCGTGTGGTCCCTGAGGCAAAGTTCTTGGGCTTGTCTCTGACCATAAGCTTAGCTTCATTTCGCACATCAAGCAGCTACGTGTCAAGTGTGCAAGGGCTCTGAACATCCTCCATGTCCTCTCTTCCAGTTCTTGGGGAGCAGATCAATGTTCTATGCTCAGGATTTATCATGCTCTGATTCGATCCAAACTGGACTATGGGTCTTTGATCTATGGTTATACCAGGATTTCGGGCCTTGAAGATGCTGGACCCCATTCACCATTTGGGGCTTCAGCTCTGCACCGGGGCTTTTCACACTTCTCTAGTCCAGAGTTTGTACACTGAGTCCCACGAACCTCCTCTTCATCTCTTTCATTTGCAACTTTCTTTGCAATATGTTACCAAGCTTCAATCCTTACCACGGCAACCCACCTGGGATTGTGTCTTTCTTTCTCAATGTGCCATGCTCTTTCGGAACAGACGGTCTGCTATTCCTTCCTTTGGCCTTCATACCCAGGCACAACTGGTTGAATTTGGTCTGGCATTGGATGACATTCCTGTCCCCAGTGATAAGCCCATTCCAACATGGCTTATTACCATCCCTTCCTGTGACCTTTCTCTGAGTCATCTGAGGAAGGCGGATACTCCTGATTGGAAGTACTGTCTTCTTTTTGCTGAACATCTTTTGAGCCATTCTTCTCTTCCTATTTACACAGATAATTCGAAATCAAGTGACTCTGTAGGTTCTGCCATGGTGTGCTGTGGCTCGGTAGTTACTCGCAGGATCCCCTCTATGGTTTCTGTGTTCACTGCGAGTTGTATGCTATTTCTCTTGCCCTGGA